AATAAAATTTCCTACAAATTACTATTATGTATTTCTTGAAAATACTCAATAAAGGCAGCCTAAATTTGGCTCCAAATATAAACTTGGAAATATAAACTTGGAAAAAATTTAGTTATAAATGTATTATTGTTTATTTTTATTTATCCACCTCAAATATCTAATAAAATCAAACTTTTATAATTATTTGCAAATCTAGATAAATTAGGCTTTCCAACGACCCATTAAGTAACAAAATCGGTCCTGTAGAACTCTTGATTTAGTTGTACAAAGTTTAACAAAAATATATCTAATTCAGTATTTTCTCACCACTATAAATTTGGAGATCACTTAGCTGATTGCAAATGACTTTTAAATGGAGGAAAAATCGACAAAAATGGATGTGATATTCTGAAAGAGAATAAAATTTACTACAAATAACAACTATGCATTTCTTGAAAATACTTAATAAAGGCAGCCAAAAGCTGGCTACAAATAGAATCTTGAAATCAGAAACTTGAAAGAAGCTGTTTTTAATGTATTTTTGTTATTTTTACTTTTTCACCACAAATATTTAATAAAATCACAATTTTATAATTATTTGCAAATCTACATGAGTTAGGCTTTCCAATGACTCATTAATTAACAAAATCGGTCTGGTAGAAGTCTAGATTTAGTTGTACAATGTTTAACAAAAATATCACAAACTCAATATTTTCTCATTACTATAAATTTGGAGGTTGCTTAGCTTTTTTGCAAATAACTTTTAAATGGTGAGGAAATCGACCAAAGTGGAAGGTGATATTCTGAAAGAGAATAAAATTTCCTACAAATTGATACCATACACTTCTTGGAAGTATTAAAAAAATGCTGCCAAAAGTCGCACCCAAATAAAAAGTAAGAAAAATACCGTTTTCAATGTATTTCTTATGGAAAACATGTTTTTTTTAAATTTTGCACCATAAACCATAACAAAAACAAACTTTCATAATTATTTGCAAATCTACACGACTTAAGCTTTCCAACGACCCATTAATTAATAAAATCGGTCCAGTAGAACTCTAGATTTAGTTGTACAGTACAAAGATTTTTAAAACTGAATTATATATTGAATAGATTTTTATTGGAAACATAAATTGTATTGAAACGGTGAGTAGTCGTATGATTATGAACGCCTGTACCAAGTATCAAGTTCTATTATGTATGTGTATTTGTTGAATTATGTCTATGTATTGAGTCTATTTTACCATTATTAATATGTTTCATTGAAGAACCATTTATGTTCAATCAAAATATAACATAGGCCTATATATTGTATTCGTAAGAAAATGCACTTACTACTGTTCTAATGAAATTCATCAAAGAACTAGCATCCGAACAATACTGGATAGTTTGGTAATCTTTTCAAACCAATGTTTGTGCCATTATTCAAAAATATAAAATTAGAGAAATTCGAAAGCCACACATTCATAAATCAATAGGCAAATTTTTAATTAATTGTCTTTGTTTCCGGATGAAAAAATATTCATAGACACTGTTATAAAGGTATGATGCAATGATTTTTATCTTATGAATTTCCTCTTTTTCTCTTTTTAACTTGTAATTGGCTGATTACTTTAATTTTACAGAAATATTTCTTAGACCCCACTCTGTTCAAGTACTATTTAAAATAATACTTTCGGGGTTCCCTTTAGTTGATTCTAAAAAAATTATGTAATACATAAAGCATAAAATAAAAAAAGGATTATGCCTCTCTCTATGCAAGAATGAGCGAGTCTCTAGCACTGGTGTGATGGGTAGTTCGTGTGCCAATTATGTGATTCTGTTTAGGACTGAATTTTAATTTCATCATGATAGGTTTATATTATGTTACTTAAGATTATTTAATTTAATTTATTTGTAATTATAATCGTTACTAATTATTATTGATTCATAACACACTATAAGTGCTTTGCACCTTATGCCTTTTCCAAGTGAAAACTTAAGGCTTTAAATAATTATTTTGTATTTTTGCTGTTCACTGATATTATTTATGCAAAAAAACATTTGTAACAGCTGGCAGGAAAAACTAATACAGCACAAGGAGTATTACAATGACTAGACTCTTATCAGGCCAGTGACCTTGCCAATGATAGGGGCAAGGTCAGAGAGTATGCAAACTGTGAAATCATTTACAACAATATGTTATTTATTCTTTTGTCTGACTTCCTCTATAGAAGGAACATCATGACACAATAATTGGTCTTAGTTTGGTGATCTTTTCAAATATGCAAATTTAAATGTACTTAAAATATTGGGATATATTAAAATACACGCATTGCTTTGGTTATATGTTTTAAGAACAGTATTCCCATTTAAAATAAAACATTATACTTCCAATATTTATGGCATAAATTGATTGAATATATTGCCAATTGTCTATAAGATACGTTTGAATCTTTTTTCATAATAGTAGAATATTAATTTGTTGATATAGATCCACATTTCATAGCAATTAGGTACTATAAAACAACAAACATTACATGCAACAATTTAGCAAATAAGTGAAATCTGTCATGAATTATTTAAATTAATTTATTTTCATTTTCACACCAGTTGCGTTGAACATGAGGTCAACGTGAGATTAAAGTTGTGTGGGTGTGCCGGGAATTGAACCCGTCCCTCCTGTTCCTCCCGCACCAAAGTCCGAGACGCTAACCACTACTAGTAGGCTACCACCCAAATGTGTTAAAAGCACAATTCTCTAGAATACTCGGTATTAGATGTTCTGTCAAAAGTACTATTCGTTACATATCTACTATAGAGTCTAGATCCATCTGCGGTAGTCCATATTTAACCGTAACTGTACAATTAATCGTTTGTGATAGTCCTGATTCAGGGTACTATAAATATTATTTTGCCCATAAAGCAAATAGTACATTAAATTGAATTAGTAATAAAACCATGAAAGTAAAGAGACTTAAAATTGACCGTGTAAAGAGTTCTTTCATTTAACTCACAAACTTGATTAAGAGCGAGCAAACAAGCAGAGAGTCTTGCTAAACAAAGTTAAGTGGCTTGCTTTGAAGATTTATTGTTAAATGTTTGTCTCGTACAAACACGTTTATAAGTGAGACAGAGATATCTAGATCCCTGGCACGGAAATAAATAATCTTCCAGGTAAAAAAGAACACAAAAACCCGTTTTTGTAATTTTGATCGAAAAAATATTTACTGTATACATATTTATCCATTACACACGACACCTATTACCACATACTACAGTAATAAAAACCAATAAATAAAAAAAAATTCTAAACAGATAATACAGTATATCCAAAATAAAAGTAGAGTAATATAATTGTCCTAAAGATGTTGATGAGAAGTAAGCTTGTTATTATATTACACTTCACGTTTTTATGTATATTTTTGAGTGCCAAGTAAAGCATATCCTATGTTATTTGAATATATTCCAGAGGAAATATCACGCTTATATGTTTGCGTGTAATTGAAACGTAATATTGTACGTAAAGGTTACTGGTTTAATTGCGCTCAATATCGATTATACTTGCATTCCCTTATTTTCTAACACTACAAACAAACTACAACATATCATATTGTATAAACTGATGCGATGATATGTTGCGAGTTATCTCTGGGGACACAATCATCAATCATTTGTATAATTACACATACAGAAATAGGTTACATTGTGTTAAATGATATTTTATTAAATAAAATTCATCCATAGAATATTTTGATTTGTAAAATAAGTATACATAAATGTACAAAAATAATTGTGTATTGCTGTCTATATTTTTTCAGGGGATGGGACAAACTATTTATAGTACGCGTATTTCGCTTGAGGCTAAACAGTTTTAGCTTTACTGCATGGTTTTGACAACTATATTCATTACAATACTCAAATTAATGATAACTAAATAGTTGTATTTTTATTTAAAAAACATATAGCCCTAATTTACTATGGAAGTATTTTTTCAAAGTAAGGCGTGTTGTGTACTGTCGAGCTGCCTGATATGAGCTTAAAATGACAAAAGTGCCTAATTATTGTTGTTGTTGACTGTCAATAGTAAACATTGACGATTGGAACAGAACCTCGCATTTATTCATTCAATCAGCACTAATTAGATATAGATTTTTTGGGTCACGTCGTTGCAATTAATTTGTATTACGTTTAATATTTTTGGTTTGAATTAAAACCCTGCAGTAGATTATAAGAATCGTGTTATTGGAATTTATCTTTCAAAGTGACTCATCAGGTTAAAGGGTTAAGATCTTTCTGTGTAATGTGCTGGTGTAATGGTTTTGCTAATCTTACTTAAACTACAACTGCAACATCGGATTTACGTTGACTACGTTCAGACAGTGGGATTACATTACTTGAAATTTACAATATATTTTTTGATTATTATTAAAATTAGAAAAAAACTATTTATATTATTTCTTACATTATTTCCTAGAAATTTAATATTTTAACTTTTGAGTAATCTTTAAGCAGCTACAATTGGGTTAACTTGTGTTTTATTTATACAGAATTAGTAAATAAAACTAACAAATAAGTAAATAAATTAGTAAATATAAATGAGTAGGTACTACTATCTACCTTAAAAATTTGTGGTAACACACACTTCTTCTTCTCGTAATTTTTTAAATCTCTAACATGACCATATTCTCGCTTGTAAAATTTACTGCCAGAATACTCCCAAACAAATATTTTATTAAAATTCAATACCATAAACATTTATCTAAAGATAGGCTTTCTTTTACATTGTACTATTCATTATCTTAGTAATATTACTTATTTGTTCCGGTTTATGGTTTAAACTAATGTTAATAACAGATTTTTCGGATGAATTACGTGAATTGTATCCCACGAACAAAAAGGTAATAAATTACCAAAATACTAGTCACATCGTAATACTCTTCGTCAAGCCAACATTAATACAAACTGGCACACCTCAAAACGTTAGACGCTTAGAAACGTTTAACACCATGACATAGCCATATTTTCCCCAATTTACACACCTTTATTATCTGGACTTCCCTCAACATATGGTTGGTTGATCATAGTTTGTCCATGACACACGGCGCTACATGGCAACGACCCGTGACACTCGCACCGTCTCGGCGCCGCACACAGACTGAGTAGCGGGCGTCGCTTACCCGCGTGTCACCACAGTCAAGCGCAGGCGTCTCGGCGCCCCCCACCCCACCCCACCCAGCCTACACTCCTCAACATACAGCGTCCTAGCAGACACCAGAGTCCTTGCTTGAGATTCTCAATGCTCTTGCACCTGAATGCATTCTAAATTCAATCTAAAATATTAAGTCACGGGTATATACAGAATCTAATGTTGTCAATTGTAAAGTGATTTAAATGCTCATCGAGTATAAATGTAATAATTTAATGAATAGATTGGATACAGAAAAGAACAGATCTGAGAAGAGTTTTATGAAAGGTATTGTTTTGGTCGTGCTGTAGTTGACTATGTTATGTCTTTGCCTAAAGAAGATTGCCAGCGACGATGTTGTAATTTAGAAAGGTTGTATTAACAAGTTGCCCCAAAGAAGTTGGCGCAATTGGAAGCTTACACTGTTTTTCTTCATTGAAACTCATTCTGTATACCTCGAACCACTACTGAATTTATAAGATTAGTACAATTTGAGTATGAAACCCATACCAAGGAGCCTATACTCTTACAATAATCATAGTTTTTGGATTAAATGATATAACATAAACTTATCGCACCCAATAATAACCTTGCTCATCGTTCAATGTTTTGTATTTACTAAAATAACTATATAACATCGTGTAAACAGGAAAGCGACTTCTAAAACCATTTCCTCCAAACTAGATTGTCTTCCAACTAGTTTCTCCGACTAGATGAGAATCACGCTCTGTTCAGTTTGTAGTAAATTAATTGTGCTAATTTGGTCAAGTTTTCTATTTTACAACCTCGTATAATCAACTACAGAGAATCCAAGTACGCAACCTTTTCGTACACCGTTTAACCTATAATTTTACTTCCTTTTGAAATATTTGATATTGAAACTCTCTATCCTAACCTAAACATTTTTTTTCAAAGCATCAATGGTGAAGCCCATTTTCGCACTCATGCTCCGTTACTTCCTACATCTTAGAAGATACACAACCACAACCGTCTACCACACACACTAGTGAATGTCGATGCAGTCGATTAGATAACGGAAATGGGTTATGAGATTGGAAAGAGGTTTGAGCTGAAAATATGTAAGTGGTTGTGAAGTATGGGAAAACCCAGTTAGGAACTGGGAGAGACATGAAATCAAAATCATTGAATATGTGATTTATTTTTACCATGTTAAATTTTTACTAATAATACGTTGAAACAAATTTGGAAAATTACTGTTTGTTTTCCATCATTGGTTTCTCTTTATTAATTTGTTTACACCGTACCTCGTACATGTTACAAATCACTAACTATGTGTATCAATAACTAGATGTGACTGCCAAATTATATACAATTACCATTATAGGTTAATATTTCATAGGGTAAATATCCGCATGTTTTAGTAAATAAACAATTCTTAAAATTTATTGTTTTGTCCTTTCATATTAAAATTTAGCAGTGTTAAAACTATTCTATTGTAATTTATTTGTTTGTATTTTTAGTTCGTTTTAAAAACGTCTACAGTGGAAAAATATTAAAGAGTTCACAGATTTGTTATAATATACTATTAAAAGCCTAGCATGAAATATTTACACAGTTCGGCTTTTTGAATAGTCAAATCTAAAAAAAATTGTCTATAATTTTACGTAGGCCTAATAAAATAAGATATTTTTTTGTAAAGATTCTGAAAATATTCCAGAAAGCACATTACAAATTGTATTATCTACGAGTTGCAGGATTGTTTTTTTAATTCTAATTTTAGCACAAAAATCATATCTTAAAAAAATATCTTACCATTTATTGTAGTTTATCATAGTTTGCTTGTGAGTGCGATAAAAGAGAGAAAGATTTACATTTAAAGGGATCCTAACATACAAAGGATAAGAGGCATGAAAAGCCAAGTCAGTGATTTAACACTTTACTTTCCGGAGTGGCTTTGGGTGGTCACTGTATAATTCAGACCCTACAATATGGCCGGCAGCTTATCACGGCACTTGGGGAACATTTTTGGAAAAATATATTTATGAGTTCTTGTTTCCTTTAAGGGCTAAACTATTTTAGTTGACTTCTAAGCCAATTCTAGCATGAAAAATTGCGTTTCGCAAATCTTTTACTTCCTAAACATTTTTAGTTATATAACTTATTACTGTTCCCCACCAACCGTAATATGTTACTGAATACATTCGTTAGTTAATAGCAACACAAGAAAATCGCAAACTTATTTTAAACTGAAATAAAGGATATGTACGTAAAAGACATGTTTAACCTACTAGAAACAACATAAAGTTAAAAACTTGACCTAAGTTTGGAGCATTTACATCTTGTTTGGTTGATTGTATATTTATTCCTTTACTATTTTATTTATCATATCGTAACTGTATTCATCGTTGGTAAATAATTAGCCTAAGCACATGATAGGGAGATTTTTATTTAACCTCTTCATTAGGAGACCAAGTTTTATCTTTCATACCTACTAGCCAACAATAATAAAATGCATAAACAACTACTTACACATCATTGCTGAATCCTGCTAGCCTCTATGGCATAATTGATTTTCCATTTAATTATTATGGGAATGGACTTTATGGATGGAAAATCTAACTGCAAGGAATGTCAGTCAGAAAGAGTGTTTACTTTGTCAGTGGAAGACCGAGGTCCAAATACTTACTTAATATGCATGATGTTTGCGGTTGTCGTAAAAATAACTTGGCCATTTTACCTGCACTGCGCGTATACATTTACTTCAACAAGAACATATAAAATATGTTGCTTGATTTTCCTTACATTTACAATCATATATTACGAATTGTTAAATTAAATTGGAGTCAAATGGGTAAAAGATAAGTATACGCTTAGGTAGTGGTGTCTCATAAAACGTATTTATCATGGTCACTATAAGTATATAAGGAAATTATAAATTAAGGAAACGATTCGAGGTGAAATTCTCCTCAATACAACAAATTCTTTTACATGAAATAATGTTAATTTGATGAAACTGTATGTGATATTTTTTATAATTATTAAATCCCGTTTATAACTAATAAAGAAAACGTGGTTCCAAATTTAGAATAAAATATTTCTTAAAGATAGCATGTTAGTTGTGGCAAATGAAGTAGTGTGATTTAGATTTTTGGGATAACATTAAAGAAATTAAGCTCAGTGAAGTATTATCGAAAAATAACTTATTGACAGAAACGATTAATTATTGGCAATGATTAATAGATGAAGGTACACACGAGGTAGTTTTGCCTGGCGTAATATACACTGTATATTATGGTGAGTGTAATTGGAACTGTATATTATACAGTTCCAATTACACTCACCTTTATTAGTTTAGCAAACAATAGTAATGTTCCAGATACTAATTAAAAACTTTTAATTTTTTTGCCATCCACGTTTCATCCCATTTAAATACATAGCTTGGTTTGAAATAGTTGGAGAATAAGGTGTAATAGATTGAGAAAAACTTAATAATCTACGAGTTTCATACGTCACTTGTTATACTTATCATAAAAAGGTACAGTTAAAAGTAGACGGTAAAGTTTAAAACACAAAAAAATTAAAACTCTAAACAACTTGCGCAGTTAAAAGTGTGGATTCGTTATAAGTTTGTAGGAGATGTAAAACTAAAGTTTCCACTCATATTTTATTCATATCCTTCTCACTTCCTCTCTTATAGTATGAAAACATTGTTTTTAATCATTACAAACTTTTAAATTTATCATATTTTGCAATTTCATCATAAATATACATGACTGTCCACTCTAAAAAAAAAAAAAAAAACAACATTGTTCGTTTACTAATAACTGAAGTATGTATAATTTAACCACAGTAGTCAAGAATGAATATTACTTATACGCCAATAAGTAGGAATTTAGGGCCCATTTTAACTCAAAGCTTTCCATACACTTAAGATAACGCATGACCTTTCAACACTCTAATTTCAGGAAATTATTTGTAAAAAGGTACAAGGTCTGTCTGGAATGGATTACAGTACTTCCACAATTAAAGCTTTTTTCACTAAACCAGTTAATATTTTAAACAGATTAGTCCCCTAAACATATTACTACTTAGCCACTTTTCATCATGTGAGTTCCTACGTTTCTTAGATTTTTAGCTTTCTGTAAGGAAAACGTCAACAGTGAAATTTAACTTAATTTATACATTCGCTGCGTACACTTACTAAGAAAATAAAAGAATGGGCACATTTTAAAGTTCTTTGAAAGATTTGGATCCAAAACCACTATGAAGTAAGAAGTGGCAAACTTGAGACAAGTTTTAACTTCCAGGAGTGAGAGCGGGACTTGAAAGTAATTTGGTCAATACAAGGGGAAACTTCTTTATAACTTTCTACGGAGATTTATTCCAAGAAAATTATATCTTGAAATATGGGCAAGAGAGCATTGTTAATATTTAGCTTTCTCAGGACTTTGCATCTTCTATATTGATATGGTTTTAATACAGTGGAATATTTAGTGGGTGATAAGGTATCTTTCTCTTTAATTGTCACATAGCATTGCATTTTCAAATCCATTTAAAGATTTCATTAGCTATCACTAATTAATTCCTATGACTGTTTCACTTGCCAACGTTCCATTATACATTGTGAATGAACTGCGGTCTGTTCATCCCCAGAGGTACTTAGCATTCCCTATTTCTTTTGCAACATTTGTAAGATCCATAAGATAGCTAAATTTGTGGTGTAATACCTTACCCCTTTCCCCATGGCAGAATTCTACTTTAATTTGTATTTTGCGTCGTAAAATCGGGTTTAATAACAATTCCCAATCAAGATAGTGTTGAACATCTTTTGCATCGTAATTTATTCCTTTATAAAACGAGTCAATTTTTGAAATGCCGTGCAGTGAATTAGAATTTGACGAATAAACATACAATTAAACCAACCACTTAATGGCCTATATTTACATTATCCTATAGCAATTTTAGAATAAACATACAACGATTAATTATATATAAGTAAA